TACAGACCCACGTTTTCTTGACCTCGGCATTAGCTGGAGGTGAGTGGTCAGCTTCAAGCCCCGTTCGCTTTACCCCCGGCGAAAATGCATCCGGTACCCAATAGATAGGATAGGTGGACCCCAGAGTTGGTCTGGACGACGTGGAGAAGTGAAAATTCTTGAGCCTACCGGAACTCGAACTCCGATCCCTCGGTCGTCAAGCCTGTAGCTAGTCGCTATTGCGACTGCACATGGTATCATTATTCGCAATTTTAAGCGCTTTACTCCAGGTGACAACAAACTTACACTTTTGCGCAAATGACAACGGAACATAGCATTTAAGTAAGCTGACGACTAACATCGCAACGTCGCAGCGTTACGAAAGCTAACAGTCGGTGGTCACGTGACAAATACGGACAAACACTATTATTTCAGCATTACCAGCGCACGCCCCAATCCCTCCCAAACTACATTTCCTAGTATTCACCTGTATCAGTCGCTATAGAGACTGGCTGGGCCACGCCACAGCTCAAGCGGTTAGTCGCTGGCTTCCCACCGCGGCGGCCCGGGTTCAAACTCGGGTCTGGTCAAGTGGGATTTGTGGTGGACAAAGTGGCGCTGGGGTAAGTTTTCTCTGAGTACTTCGGTTTCCCCTGCCAATCTTCACTCCACAAAATTCTCCATCATCATAATCACCCGGGGCAGTTAAATAGGCCAATCAGTGGCCGCCGTGCCGAGTGAACCCAGCTGGACTCCACCCCACTAAATGATTAATGATATTAAAATTAGTTATATCAACTGCTGTGATCATTTGGTATCAGAGTATGATCCAATTCAGTGAAGTTAAGGGATTAGGAAGGATGTGGGCATGAATCTCGAAATTCTGCCTCGGAATTCGCCGGGAGGTACAGAGAACAATGAAGAAATATCCTCTGCCAGGAGAATCGGTATCCAAGACAAGATTCGAACTGTCAATTAATGGGCAACGGCTAAGCCAACTTCCTTAGCTCTGGTTACGAAGGTAGGGGTGACACTGAGAGTGAGAGCGGGGAAGGGTTAGGTTTAATGGCGTTTGTATACTACTTCAGAGAATTAAATTCCAAGTTTCGTTTGACGTCAGCACTACAATTTATATTAATTATTTTTCCATCCTTTCAATTCAATATGTCTGTTAATTTTCATCAAACTTTTAAATCTGTATGAACGAAGTCCCATTAATTAAAGTATTATAATAAATCTATCACGATAAATTTATTTTAAATTTGGGATAGAAATTTCAGTGATTTATTCATTAAATGCGGCTGTTTACCTGGCCGTTTGGGCGTTTCCATGCCGAAATGACTACAGATTAAAGGAATTTCGTATATATTCTGCTACCAATGACGCAGTCAAACGATTCTACGTTTCATTTAATCCGTGATCGATTATCTGATAATACCGACACATCGCCGTTTAAATGTGTCACATGAGAGCAAGCCATTAAGAAATGTTAAAATGAGACATACTATCGACAATCGACTTTTTACAATATTCAATATTAATCGAATGATTAGATATATATTTATGAATCGATCCTGCGCTACATAAAATATTTCATGCAAAGGAAACGAAAATACTTTATTTAACTCATGTTTTATTTTCTTTGTATAATAAATAAAATAGTGTTTTTAATGTATGTAGTATATCTGAGGACATGAAACACAATCTTCGCCCGCTCAAACACTGGGATTGTGGGTTCGAATCTTACTGCGAGTGGTTATCCGTCTGCGATAATTTTGTGTTTGTGTTATCCTGTGTAGATAGCAGCCTTGCGGCAGAGTTGATCCCCCATCCAAGGAATCTAACGGTAGCCTAATCCGTCAATGTACATGAAGAGGCAGAAGTTTTCATTGTACGCTTAACAGTAGCTTTCAAAACGAGGAGTTATGGATGATTGTGGGTTCGAATCTTACTGCGAGTGGTTATCCGTCTGCGATAATTTTGTGTTTGTGTTATCCTGTGTAGATAGCAGCCTTGCGGCAGAGTTGATCCCCCATCCAAGGAATCTAACGGTAGCCTAATCCGTCAATGTACATGAAGAGGCAGAAGTTTTCATTGTACGCTTAACAGTAGCTTTCAAAACGAGGAGTTATGGATGAAATGTTCATGACAAAAACGAAATATATCAAAGTAATATGTACTAAAGCCAGCTATTCATTATTGGGTGATTATGCTAAATTCGGCGAGATATCAACACTATATGCCGAGTGAATAAACAAAAAAAATATTAAGGCTACAAAGTTCACTTTTATTACAAATACAGAACAAAAGTTGTAATCACGTGACAGGGTATAGACGCGGTTTGGATTGGTAATCGGATTTACTGAACTCTTACAACACGTAGCTACAAGTAAGGATTATGCTCTCACTGTTCTACACAATTCACACATCACTTTAGGAGACACCAGGTTCTTTGAGTCTGTTACAGTGTTTATTAGCCGTTGCTTGGCAGCGGCTTCTAACACCAGACATTCCTCTTCCTTTGGGTTACCGAACTGTCCCCGTGCCTCAGGTATCAGCTACTCACAACAACAGTTCACAACCCAACCCCAGCAGTTATCTAATTGCAACACGTCTCGGCAGGGACCACACAGAAAATACCATTTTCTGTTGTTTACGGGCTGCTGCCTAGTAACGGACGGTGTATAGTTCCTTGTTTCGCGGTCCTTGCCTAGGAATGGGTCTACATGCCACAATATTTACATGTGTAATAAATAAAGTTGTGTTGTAACAGAACACTACATTGAAAGAATACAACAAATGTGATTTTAATGCAATCTAAAATTAAGAAAAAAATTCCTTTTTCTCGTTTCGTAGTTTTTTCTTTATTTTAACAACAGAATGGTGTTTCAGACTAAATTCCTCGTCACTGTGACCTCAAACTTGCCTATTGTACTAACCCTTGATGACAGATAAGTATGTAACTTTGATGGAATGATAATTGGCAGGGGAAATGCAAATTCTTGGGGGGGAACCTGCCTTAGTGACATTTTGTTCACCATAAATCCCATATAGTCCAAACTAGTTTTGAAACATGGCCTCAGAAGTTGGTGACTAACAGCACGAGCCTTCGGCCTTAACACTGAAAATGCTCCCATAATTCTGTCCGCCATTATTCCTTTGCAAAAGCCTCAGTAACTTCACAATTATCTCCTCCTCATTGACCTTCCGAGCAATAAGCGGAGTTCCTGCAGTGGCTTAGGGCTCCGAGAGGCTTACACTTTTGTTTTCACTTTTTCTCCCCAGAGTGTTGCTTTTTGGGATTAGCCAGCATGCTCAGAACATGTAATTACTTCCGCAGAGGTTTCTGCCCATTAGCGTGCAGAACTACATACAGACGCTCAGAGTATGGTGATGCCAGGAGAATGGGCAACAAATTCGGTGGCGGACATATACTATGCTGACAGTTACAAGCCGGAAGGTCGTGAGTTCGATTCCCGATGAGTTCACTAAATTTTTCAATTGACCTAAGCCTTCCAGCAGCAACACGGCCATGGGATCGACCAGGCTCTAACAGAAATGAGTACCAGGAATCTTCCTGGGCGTAAAGAGTGACCGGCGCGTAAGCCTGACAACCTCACCACCATCTGTGAGCCGACTGTCTAGAATATGTGGGAGCCTCGACGTCTCACAACCCTACGGATCTCCTCGGCCTGTTACAGGGATAGCTTTACTTAACCTCACCGCCATCTGTGAGCTTATTGTGTAGAAAATGTGGGAGCTTCGATGTCTCACAACCCTACGGACCCCCTCGGCCTGTTACAGGGATAGTTTTATTTTTAGTATTTTATTTTAAGCTGTGGCAGGCGAGATAGAGTCGACCGGCTAATACGTCTGCTTATTTCAGCAATATAGCAAACGATTAAGCGATAAATGATATTTAAATTCCATGCGTCATGACGCAGAATTCGATGGATAAACTTATGTTATGACTAATAAGAAGCAATTGTTTTATGGAATACTGAATGCATTCACAACGGTCAATTACTGATATGGATCCTGTTTCCGGGGGATGACGCCGTGTATATTGGTACTGTCGACGTATCCGATATATTTAGTACCTCCATCTTGAAAGAGAAATTACCCAGACTCAGGACCCATGTTGGACAGTGAATATGAAGAGTTCGGTCTTCTGAGTTCGCCGTGTAGTTGGGAAAGAGCCCGATGTTTCGGAGGAACATATCATTTCCATCTTCAGGATAGACATTTAAAAAAAGAAACCAGCCGTTGTTACTGCTTCTGCTTGATTTTCCCACCCTTGACGAAGAGCTATGGTCTAGACGGGCCGCGTTTTCGATTCCCGGCAGTGCAAGATTGTGTTTCGTTCCCATAGCGCCCACCCCGGCACTAAGACTAGAACTCGGGGGCGGCGCCATAGCTCAAGCGGTTAGTCGCTGGCTTCCCACGGCGCCCCGGATTTGATCCCGGGTCTGGTCAAGTGGGATTTGTGGTGGACAAACTGGCGTTGGAGCGGGTTTTCTCTGAGTACTTCTGTTTCCCCTGCCAATCTTCATTCCACCAATTGCTCCACAATCACCCTCACCTATCATCTGGGGCTGGTACAATAGGCCAAAGTGGCCGCAGTACAAGGGACTTAGTTCCACCCAACTAACAAAAAAAAAAACCCACTAAACCTTCCTAATCCAATGGGTAAAAAGGTTAAACTGGCCGGGGGGGGGGGAATCTGACAACTCAACCATTTAGTGCTGAGGTCAAGACTGACGGAGCTATACACCCACCCTCCTACTTTTTTCATGACATAGTACTTAAATAATTAATAACAGGGATTTTTTGCTCTTCGATCGTGCAAACGGAGGCGGTATTCCACCGAAACGTCGGTATCCCTCTGAACTACACGGTGTTACAACTCAAAAACCTACGTCTAATTTTCAGTCACCATAATCATCAAATAATTTATGTGATGTGTGCCATCAGCTGTAGCTCACCCTTCACTGCTCTGCGCCGAGCGCAGTGTCTCTTACCGGTTCGTACGGTCCTTGACGTTTTTTTATATGGAATATAACGTAATTTTCCGGGGCTCCTGTCTGCAATTAATAAAAAGAAAATAGTGCAAAGTCAAGAGAGGTTTATAGCTCCACATTTTACATACTAATAACATGTAAGGGGGAGAAAAAGCAATGGATTTAATAAAATATAATAAAATTCAAGAGGAAATTATTAGCAATAATTTCTTCAAAAAATATACCTAAATTCAATTACACGTCAATTTCTGGAGAGATAGCTATATTTCTGCTAAAGTACTAAACTGACAATATGCAGTAAGACGTGAAGCTAACTACAAGAATTGTTTTACGGAATTGTTCGTTTATTGAAAACAAAATTCGCCGAAGATAAAAGACCTAACCTGTATTTTTCCATCAAATGACAATGAAACCTGGAAAGCATCCCACAGCTAACAGTCACAACGTTACCAACGATAATAGTCGGTGGTTAAGTGATTTCATTCTCACATACAAAACAAACAGACAATTTATAAACACAATTATTACTTCGGCATTACCACACACACACACACACACTCCATTCCCCCCTCATGTACACTTTGTTATCTTCCCTTCTATTAACAGGAGACATGCGGTAGCGTAGTTGTTTCAGGCACTGTGCTACAAACCGGCAGGTCGCGGGTTCGATTCCAGATGAGGTCATTGGATATTTCAATTGACTTATTCCTTGCAGAAGTACTGTGGATCTGGGGTCGACTCAGCCTCTAAAAGAAATGAGTATCACGAATCTTTTCCGGGGGTAAAGGGCGGTCGGCGCGTTAGGCTGGCAACCTCACCGCAATCTGTGAGCCGACTGTCTAGAAAAATGTGGACCCTCGACGTCTCAAAACCATATGAGCCTCCACGGCCTCTTACAAGAATGCCTTTATTTTTTTACATTTTATTAATGCTTTAAAACCGAGTGGTTACTATATGCACCACTTGATTTAATATACTAAAACTGGGCATTCTTCCCGCAGAGTGAATTTATATGTTCCGTATGGTTCTCACAAAAAACAGCGACTGTTTCCCTAAACAGCATTAACCGGTTGGGCTTTGTAGCGGAGACGTAATGTGTTTCCTGTGAGGTACGAACTGAACTCTGCATTCTGCCCACACAGTGTATTTATGTGTTCCGTATGGTTCTCACAATAAACAGCGACTGTTTCCCTAAACAGCATTAACCGGTTGGGCTTTGTAGCGGAGACGTAATGTGTTTCCTGTGAGGTACGAACTGAACTCTGCATTCTGCCCACACAGTGTATTTATGTGTTCCGTATGGTTCTCACAATAAACAGCGACTGTTTCCCTAAACAGCATTAACCGGTTGGGCTTTGTAGCGGTGACGTAATGTGTTTCCTGTGAGGTATGAACTGGATTTGTGTATATTACTTGAAACAATATTGTATATTTAATGGGCAGCCACAAATCATTTTGAATGTTCTCAAATGCAAAAAAATGGGGGGGGGGGGGGGAAGAACCTCCAAACCGCACATTTCCGTCTGTAGCTACGGCTTACACAGATAACCTTCACTTGTCCACACATATATTACGTAACGATTTCGCTGAATATGCACGATACCAACAACGATTTTTTGGCAAATATCGAGGTTGCAATACCGACTGAGGTATAGAAACCTTTCTTTGCTGCTAGACCGTCCTATCCAGAACTACTAACAACTCTTGATTGATACACGATAGAATTTCGAGACTGAGACTTCTGTGAATGTGGGTAATTTACATGAAATGGAAGAATAAAATAGAATTAAGAAACTTAAGTATAAATCTGCATTAAATCTTGATGCTTATTAAGTTGTTATTAAAAGTATGCAATTCCATTATTTAAAGCAGAGTCGATCGAAAATAAAGAAGATAAGCCAATAGGAAAGTAATCTCCAGTCAGCTGCTAACAAAACAAAAAAATTAAAAAAGAATTGTAAAAATATATACATATTTAACCTACTTCTCAACATAGTCACCGCCGGAATTGAGGCATTTGTCGTATCGGGGAATAAGTTTGTAATGCCTGTGTCAAAGACGTCTGCCGCTTGCGATCTCAGGCACGTTTTGACACCTTCCATCATCATTACTGTCGATTCGCTGTGATCTCAACCAGTTCTTCAGGCAGGTAAACAGATGTTAGCCACTCGAAGCGACAGAAAGGCTGTAAGGAGGATGGGCAAACAACTTCCAGTTGAAATGTTCCAGCAGTACTCGAATGCGGACGTGAATTGTTATGAAAGAGCGCTACACCGTATGTCAGCATTCCAAATCTTTTGTTCACAATGAATCTACGCATGTCTCTTAGTGTTTCGCAATAATAATAATAATAAAACGTGGCTGACTTCACGGCCGGCAAACTTCTTCTGACACAGGCATAGAAATACTTATTCCGCGATACAAGTTCCTGAATTCCGGATGTGACTAAGTTGAGAAGTAGCTGAAGTATATTTGTATTTTTGTAAATTATAATTTGTTTCTCGTTATTTGTTTCGTTAACAGCTCACCGGAGGTTACTTTCCGAGGGTGAAGGCAATGGTTGTGGCCTACACCAGTATTTGCCCGGTGGGGCTTGGTATACTCTTGTTGGGTATACTCAAGGTATGGATGTGTGAGTACGTTCTTTTTCTAATGTTGTGCTGTTCCGTGTATAGGTAGAGGCCTTGCCACAGGCCGATCCCTCGTCCAAGGAGTCCTACCGACTGTGTACAGGATTAAGAAACTGAAAAAACGGCCAAGGTCCAACAAAGGGCTGTAGAAACATAGACAGACAGACAAGCGAAATTCTGAGAAACATTTCAGGTATTCAAGGTGATGCCTATGAAGAACAGGATCATAAAACATGTGACGCCATGTAATTGGGTACAATTTTACTGACGATTCGGAGGAACGTACTGCTTCCATTTTCATGGTTGAAAAAATAAGCCGAGTAAATAGATTTATTATACGACACCGCTTTTCAGAAGACAGCGCTCTCCTAAATAAGTGAAGATGAAAAAATGTAGTCCAACCACACGGTCTAAAATATTTTTGCATTTTTCAGGCTTAACTGGCGGAATGTACTGTACAATACGATACCGAGTCTTATGTAAATATGCCTGTGGCTCTGTATGGGTATGAAACTTGGTCTCTGACATTGAGGGAGGAACATAGACTGAGGGTGTTTCAGAACAGGGTGCTGAGGAGAATATTTGAACTGAAGAGAGATAAAGTGAGGGGAGGTTGGAGAAAACTGCATAATGAGGAGCTTCATAATTTGTACTCTTCTACAAGTATAGGTAGAATGATCAAGTCAAGGAGGATGAGGTGGGCAGGGCATACAGCATGAATGGGGGAGAGGAGGAATGCATATAGGATATTGGTGGGAAAGACAGAAGCAAAGAGACCACTAAAAAGACCAAAACTTAGGTGGGTGGACAATATTAAAACGGATCTTAGAGATTATGTGATGTGGTGTGATGTGATGTGATGTGGTGTGATGTGATGTGGTGTGATGTGGTGTGGTGTGGTGTGATGTGGTGTGATGTGATGTGATGTGGTGTGATGTGATGTGATGTGGTGTGATGTGATGTGGTGTGGTGTGGTGTGGTGTGATGTGGTGTCATGTGATGTGATGTGGTGTGGTGTGGTGTGGACTGGATTTATCTGGCTCAGGATGGGGACCGGTGGAGGGCTCTTGTGAACTGGGTAATGAAACTATGTGTTTCATAAAATGCTAGGAAGTTCTTGTGCAGCTGAACAACTGGCAGTTTCTCAAGAAGGGGCTCAGCTCCATGAAGTTAGTAAATGTAAATAAAAAATCAATCTGATTATAAAGGCAGGATATGGCAGACACAAAGAAATGAGGAAATGAAAGCAGAACGTAACAGTTCTGGCGCAATCAATAGTTTGTGTTTAATTATCCCGGAAAAACAGTCAGAATTACGGGAAAATAAATCAGTGATAGAATTCTCTCTACAACTTTTCTGTTCGCAACGTTTCTCACTCCAAAAAATATTTATCGACATGCATATAGAAACGCGCGTACGTCTTAACGTAATATGTCCGTTATTTTTGTTCGATCTTAAGGGAATGTATGGACAAATTTCCTTTTAAAACGTCCGAATATCAAATTTAATGAAAATACGTAAAGACTGTATTGAGTTGTTAAACGAGTACAGACGGACAGACAGTCGTGAAAACGTTATTGCGTTTCGAAAAAATATAATTTGAGACATCAGCACAACAAATAATTAAAAAGAAACAAGACAGACACGGCTGTGCCAGCATTTTTTAATTATTTTTTGTGGTAGGGCTACATGTTTCCACCCTTCTCCTGGGTCATCTTCAGGCGTACATGAATATTATTTTAATTGATATTTTAACTTTATCTATTTAATATCAAGTTTAATGTCTAGTTTAATTAAAATTAAGATATAATTGTCAGTATAGAATCATACAGACGCGATATGAAACAATATTGATTAATGACACAATGCAGAAGCTAAATACTCTTTATGTACGCCTGAAGATGACCCACAAAAATATCGAAACATGTAGCGTTACCACCATGAACGAATAAAAACATATGTTGACACAGCAGTGTCTATTTTATTTCATTTTGAATATCTGTTGTTATATCTTTTCGTAAATAACACATAACAGAATGCATATCATAAAAGTTATGGCATTCACCATTATGAAAGCGACGAAAAATAGTTCATAAAATTTGCAAATAAACACGTTCAACAAATTCAACGACATAAAATGATTATGAATTGCTGTAGCCGAACTAATGTGTTGAAACATGTCTGAGCACATGCCACACGTTCAAGAGGCAGTCTTACGGGACAGAAGTCAATTGTCACCTGTTTGTGGCCCTTAGAAATTAAAAATGGGGGATGTTGCAGGCACATAAATTTGTTTGTGCTTCGGTCACACCTTAGTTAATATTTTTGATGATTTTGGTCCTCTTTGTATGTTGAAAATAGAATCTAATGATTTTCTAGTGATGACGTGATGCTATACGTAAGTTCTTGTAATGACATAACCTCAGAGATGCCAGAGACACGATTTATCAGATTCTTTTCGCATTGCGTATCAAGTGACAATCAAAATTATTATATACCTTCATTCGAAATCCGTAATAATTAATAAAACAGTCAAATAACTTTAATATTAACTTTACTTACGTTTTGCAGACGACTGATCAATTTCAACCATAAGAACTATAATTGCCGTTAAGACAATCAGAAGAGAAGGACATCGCTGTAAAGCCATTGTTGATAATTCACGTATAAATTTACTTTTTCTGGTGATCGAAACTACGAAATATTCTGATGACGAAAATTCGAATCCTTCCCAATGATCTTCGTCAGGCCTCAAGACGAAATGACATTCTACCTACCCAAACCCGGCCTTTTTAAAACACAAAACGACGCTGATAAGCGTCGGAGAACACGCCGACCTGTTGGGATGAAAGCATGGGAGGGGGGGCGCGTTTCGGACCAGTGTTACGGGGATAGGTGGTTGGGTACCGAAGAGAGGGGATGAGGGGCGGTGTTGGTGGCGGGAGATTCTCGTAGAAGGAAAGTAGGCACTGCAGAAGGGGAAGGCGGTTATACCTAATTGACAGAGTCGTCCTTCTGATGAGGAACAGACTCGTACTCCTGAGGAGGCAAGAAGGGAAACGCGGAGGGGCTAAGTCGGAAGGTAGGTGAATGAATTGGGAATACAATGGCGGGGAATCACAGACAGACCAGTAGCGCAGAGTAGGCGCGCAGGAACTGTTCGGCATTTGAAAATGAACTCGTCCGAAATTTATCGCCGTAGGAAGAAAATGAGGGGACAGCCCAAAGCATCTGCTCTCCCCGGCCAGTTGCATATTTTTATTAAGTCAAAACTGAAGACAATAATGAACTGTACCAAATAGTACACAGTATATTTCTTTCTCGTGTGTTAGAGCGCAGTTGGTATAGCGACTACGGGCTGGACAACCGAGGAATCGGGGTTCGATTCCGCTAGGGACAACATACTTCTTGTCCATAAAGTTCAGACCGACTCCCCGGCAGTCCCATTCTGTTATAAAATTGGTATATTAGGGGGCTGAAACTGACCACTTAATTCCATCTAGTCCTGAAATTAAAAATTATGGAGCTATACCTCCAGTTTCCATACATCTTCATGGTGTGACGCTTAATTAATTAAGTGCAGAGATACACTTCTCTTTCCTCCTTTCTAGAACACTACAGGGAGATAAGAAATTGTTTTCTCATTCTATTTAAGAAAATGTTCTGGCTAATCCCATTTACAGGAAAATCCTCTTACCTTTATGCTGGGGCGGGGGGGATGGAGTAAAATGTGATTCAGCCTACACGCCGATCATTTCGACCAGCCTGTGACACTAGAGCAACTCAGTAACATTTATCTGCATTCTCAGTTAGTCTTCCAAACAATATTACGTTCACAACTTTTCCAGAATACAAAGCGAATTGTTCCAGATATTATGTGACGCTTCCGAATTTCCTGTTCGAATCTCGGCTAAATCACCTATTATTATGACTGGGGCTTCTCGTAGTTTTCCTCAGTCTAAAAGCTATCCCTGTAACTGGCCGTGTAGGCCCACAGGGTCGTGAGACGTCGAGGCTCCCACATTTTCTACACAATCGACACATATGGCGGTGAGGTTACGTAAAGCTATCCCTGTAACAGGCCTTGGAGGCCCATAGGGTTGTGAGACGTCGAGGCTCCCACATTTTCTACACAATCGACACATATGGCGGTGAGGTTACGTAAAGCTATCCCTGTAACAGGCCTTGGAGGCCCATAGGGTTGTGAGACGTCGAGGCTCCCACATTTTCTACACAATCGACACATATGGCGGTGAGGTTACGTAAAGCTATCCCTGTAACAGGCCTTGGAGGCCCATAGGGTTGTGAGACGTCGAGGCTCCCACATTTTCTAGACAATCGGCTCAGAGATGGCGGTGACGTTAAGTAAAGCTATCCCTGTAACAGGCCGTGAAGGCCCATAGGGTTGTGAGACGTTGAGGCTCCCACATTTTCTAGACAATCGGCTGACAGATGGCGGTGAGGTTGACAGCCTTAATGCGCCAGCCGCCCTTCACCCCCCATGAAGATTCCTTGTACTCATTTCTATTAGAGGCTTATCTACCCCAGGGGCAGAATGCGGCTGGAAGGATTAGGACAATTGAAAAACTCAATGACCTCATCTGGAATCGAACCCGCGACCTTTAACCCAGGCGAATATTGCTATAGCACCTTAAATAAACTACGGCCGCTTCCTTTAATATCCTTTCCTGTTCATTTTTCACTTTCATCGAGTGATTGTACGTTACATGAGTTCAGCTGTTGAGGGTATCGTTAAATAAACAACAGATAAACAGAAAATACGATGTGAAATAATGTAAAATAAATAAAGAAGAAAGCAAATTACAAAATACTGCAGGCTTTATAAGTTTATATAAAAAAATGGCTATTAAATTTCATCGGTAGACACTTGATTTATATGACTAATGAAAACATATTATTTAACGTTTATTTTAATATATATTCACTGATTCACTGAGCCCTAAGTCTGAGTATCATCCGAAAGCTCTACTACACGGGGAAAAGTAAAGGAAATTCCACCGAAATATCAGGAAAATTTCTACCAGATCCCAGATGGGATAATTATGCCGTATTCCAGAACATCTCTCACGTGAAGTCATCACTAAACACTTCAAGCCGACCTTCGCATCACCAACAGGAAGTGAGTGGGTTCTACTGGCAATTCATACGGGAACCGGAACAGCCAGACTGGAGGGCTCGCTCACAGAAAGCTGCCCGTCTGGGCCTTACGCACCGACAGAAGTACTTCAGAGTTTAGTCTCCGCTGTGATAACCTCACATTCGTTTCAGCGGAATCGAATTGGTTCTGAAGGTGGGGGTTGAGCCGGTATTGTGACGGACTGAACGACCGGGGTTCCATTCCCAGTGAGGGAAATTCTTTTCTCTTATCCACAGCACCCAGATCGGTTCTGGGGCCCACCCAGCCTCATGAATAATGTGGGCTCTTTCCTCTGAGATAAAACGGCCGAGACTTGAATCTGGCCACTCACCTCCATCTAGTGCCGACGTGAAGAATAGTGGAGTTATACCTCCACTCCTCCATGTCTTCATTGTGTCGTGCTTAATTAATTAGGAACAGGGACAAATTTCCTTTTATTGATTCTGGAAATTCGTAGATATGTCTCAAGGTTGCTTCATAGTTAAATATTGTGGAATATAAACCCGTTGCTAGGCAACGACGGCGAAATAAGCAGCTATATTACAGCAGTTACTAAGTAATGGCTCTGTAAACGACATCCGTTGCTAAGTAATGTTCACAAAAGACACGCAAGCAACAATAGAAGAGCTGTTGTGAGCGGTGTTTTCTATGTTGTCCGTGCCAACGCTATATATCGAGGATCGGTTGCGATTACGAGAGATACTTGAGACGGCAGTTAGAAAAGTGGGATGTTGGTGTGAGATAGAGACCAGCCTGAAAGTTAGTGGAGTGAGCTGGTTGGTGAGTGAGTTAGAGGCCTGCTGCGGTTCAGTCCTTGTAAGTCCGCCGTTGGAACCCGTTACCAGGCGACAACCGGTGAAGACCCAGACTTTAAGTCTGTGTTGTTGTAAATTGCAGAGTGTGGATTAGCGATAGCGCTATTGTTACTTGTAGTTACGATCAGCAAGTGGCCAATAAATCCAATTAATAATCCAACTCCCGCATAGTCACACACAAACACGTGACAATATTAACCAGTTAAGAAATGTATGCACATTGTGTCACCGGTGATAATATTTTGATATGAATATATTAACTGTATTGTACTACACAAAGAGATGGTTTACGACTGACTGTTTATGCGCGTTATTCGTGGAAGATGGTTTTAAACGTCGGCCTCGACGTATCATTCCGTAACATGTGGGATAGGAAAAGAATACGTGAGAAAACAAAAGATGAGACTTTCCGTAGAATTATCAACGGATGTTACATTAGTTTTGTTATGAAGAAATTAATGCATATGGACGAGTTGGATGACTCGTTCGAATTGAAGTCGCCTGTAAACTGAACTGGAAAACTTCAGGACCTCCACTTTGACTTGAGTCAAACTTTTAAAGCAATTACTTCATCAGACATCAACGTAAGACTTTAATGAGATCTTTTCTTTACTAATTACTTTATAAGGCAAACTCACTTGAGTTTTTAATAATGATTAACGTCAGTAAAAGTTAAAAATGATTAATAAATTAATCTCGCAGTTCAGGAATCTAAAGGAAAGGTAGTAAACATCTATAAACAATAATATTAATATTTTATTTTACGTGAAGCCGTGCAGTCAGGTAGAATTTTACGGGAAGTCGGATGAATTTATTGCATTTATATTCAAGGTCGAAGGTATAGTAAGCAAGGAGCTCCATTTCCGTTAGTTGTTTCGCATAATTTCCACCATGAAGACGGAAGCAGTATATTCAGTCTATACTTCATCACATCTTATAAAGCATTAAACTTTATGCTCACCGCCGACAGACTATCAAATCCGATGTTATTAAAACGTTAGGATTAATGAAAGGTAATGAATTTTGCGTGTTCCTTATCTTTTGTTCGAATCCCTCGGCAGTCACAAGCCTTAGGAGAAGTGAAAGGTAAAAGTAAAGTCCCTATGCTTAATTAATTAAGCAACATGCAATGAAAAATTATAGGGGAGTGGAGATATAGCTCCACTATTCTTGATCTCGGCAGTAGATTGAGGTGAGTGGTCAGCTTGACGCTCCGGCAGCTTTACCACAGTAGAAAGAGTCCCAGATATAAAAGGACCCCGAGGGGACACATAGAGAGATTGGTCCCTGAACTTTCACCGTACGAAGAATACTGAGGCATATAGACCCGTTGCTAGGCAATGACCTCGAAATAAGCAAATACACAACAGTCGTTGCTAAATAACGGTTCCGCAAACAAACATGATTGCACGAACGTAACAATTGCATATAACAATAATTGGAAGCGGTGTTTTCTACGCGGTGCGATCCGAGATGTTATAGCAAAACAAGTCTTGAGTTAGTCACCCCCGTGTGGAGGCGGGGTCGAATACCTGCACCGTGACCATCCGAGCCGTAGGAGGCGACGAAAATGGAAGTCTCAAATCGGATACAATAAAACATGGTCGCGAGTCCCAAGGGACTCGGACCCCATAAAGCGATGGAAAGGGCCAGCAGTATATACGTGTACAAAAGACAGACCCGTCCTCTCGTCAGAGAGGGCGCCCCACAAAAACAAGACCGTAACTGTCAAACAGTAATAAATATCTGGTCATGAGCCTCAGATGGGGCTCGACACCAAGACTTACTGACTGAGTGACCGTCAGGCGCAATGTGACTTTGACTTTGAGCTATGAAATAGGATGAACTCGGAGCACCCTGTAGAA